TGCCCCATTCGCCCTCTCCTCTCTGGAAAGAAAGATGGCGGCCACATGGGAGCCTTGTGGACAGCAGGTATGAGCCGGGAGTGTGGGGGCGACTAAAACCTCATGGGAAGGGGGGCGTTCCGGTCCGTCCTTCATGCCCTTCCGAGGTCACCAGTTGCCCCCCACGAGCGGCTCTCCAGCACGGCCACAGCCCCAGAAGCACAAGGGCTTAATGCAGAACCCAGCAGCTTGGAGCAGAAAAGTGAACGGACTATGCATTGATCCAGGCCATCAAGTCTGCCGGAGGGGAAAGGGTGTTGCCCCATTCGCCCTCTCCTCTCTGGAAAGAAAGATGGCGGCCACATGGGAGCCTTGTGGACAGCAGGTATGAGCCGGGAGTGTGGGGGCGACTAAAACCTCATGGGAAGGGGGGCGTTCTGGTCCGTCCTTCACGCCCTACCGAGGTCACCAGTTGCCCCCCACAAGCGGCTCTCCAGCACAACCACGGCCCCAGAAGCACAAGGACTTAATGCAGAACCCAGCAGCTTGGAGCAGAAAAGTGAACGGACTATGCATTGATCCAGGCCATCAAGTCTGCTGGAGGGGAAAGGGTGTTGCCCCATTCGCCCTCTCCTCTCTGGAAAGAAAGATGGCGGCCACATGGGAGCCTTGTGGACAGCAGGTATGAGCCGCGAGTGTGGGGGCGACTAAAACCTCATGGGAAGGGGGGCATTTCCGTCTGCCTTTCACGCCCTACCGAGGCCACCAGTTGCCCCCACGAGCGGCTCTCCAGCACGGCCACAGCCCCAGAAGCACAATGACCTAATGCAGAACCCAGCAGCTTGGAGCAGAAAAGTGAAAGGACTATGCGTTAATCCAGGCAATCATTTCTGCCCAGAGGGGAAAGGGTGTTGCTCCCTTCCGCCCTCCTCCCTCTGGAAAGAAAGATGGCGGCCACATGGGAGCCTTGTGGACAGCAGGTATGAGCCGGGGGTGTGGGGGCGACTAAAACCTCATGGGAAGGGGGGCGTTCTGGTCCGTCCTTCACGCCCTACCGAGGTCACCAGTTGCCCCCTGCGAGCGGCTCTCCAGCACGGCCACGGCCCCAGAAGCACAAGGACTTAATGCAGAACCCAGCAGCTTGGAGCAGAAAAGTGAACGGACTATGCATTGATCCAGGCCATCAAGTCTGCCGGAGGGGAAAGGGTGTTGCCCCATTCGCCCTCTCCTCTCTGGAAAGAAAGATGGCGGCCACATGGGAGCCTTGTGGACAGCAGGTATGAGCCGCGAGTGTGGGGGCGACTAGAACCTCATGGGAAGGGGGGCGTTTCGCTCCGCCCTTCACGCCCTACCGAGGCCACCAGTTGCCCCCCGCGAGCGGCTCTCCAGCACGGCCACGACTCCAGAACACAGAAATCAATTTCTTAACTATCTGACTTTCAGTAGAAATACTTCCAGGGTCAATAGGTAAAAGAGCAGAAACCCAAAACCAACATTTAATTCTTGAACCCAGCCGTAGAAAGCAAATCACTTCACAATGCTTTTTCAGCATGTCTGATTGGGGGGGGGGGTAAACTCTAAATAATAGTGGTGAATCTTTTATTGAAACAATGAATCTAATCAAAACAGATAGAGTGTTAACTAGAATTCATCTGCCTCACAGGGACGGGGAGGGGTGGGGGGTGGGGGGTGGGGTTCTTCATGGTAAAAAATAAGTATTGGTAAAGGGAAATGTGTTTGATATTTGCATGACTGAGACATAAACCTGAAAGCTTTGTAACCTTTCCCACAGTGATTCAATAAATAAATTAAAAAAAAAAGTAATAATGCTTCTATATTACCTTGCAATTCCATTTCTCAGCATCCATGCCAAGAACACAAAACATTAATTCAAAAAGATGCATACATACCTATGTTCATTGCAGTGCTAAGCACAATAGCCAGGATATGGAAGCAACCGAAATATCCAACAATGGATGACTCAGTAACGAAGCTGTGGTATATATACACAATGGAATATTGTACAGCTTTGAGAAAAGAGGAAATCTTTCAGTTTGCTGCAACTCGGATGGAACTGCCGGACATTATATTAAGTGAAAAAATTCAAAAGGGAGGAGGAAAAATTCTGGTTGCTCTCACTCATCTGCTGTCTAATCAGAAAAACATGGGACTAGTACCTTTCAGAAGACAATTCTTGGCCTCTGAAAAACTGAAATTATCTGACAGTGGGAGGAGGGATGGGGGTGTTGAAAAAGGAATCATATACTAGAAATGACATAAGGACAGTAGTGTAGGGTTTTGGAGACACTGGTGGTGGTGAAGGTGCAGTAACTTTGTACATCAAAATGATGAAAGCTAACAGTATTGCAACCAATATTATGAAAACTACATAAAAAGTGGAATTGAATCCTTGTTCATTATAGAAACGTGGATTAAACTCACATGAATGTAAAAGTGAAAACTTAGAAGAAAACATAGGTGTAAATCTTACTATCTTAGCTTAGTAAATGGTTTCTCCCACATGATAGATATCAAAAGCAAAAGTGACCAAAGAAAAAATAAATTGGACTTCATCAAAATAAAAACTTGTACTTCAAATGACACTAAAAAGACAGTGAAAATATAATACATGCAAACAAATAGGAGAAAATATTTGCTAATTATATGTCTGAAAAGAGTCTTGTTTCTTGAGTATATGTATATAAAGAACTTCCACACTTCAACAATATAAGGAAAAATAATTCAATTTTTAAAACGTGCTAAAGATATGAGCAAACATTCTCCCTCCCCCCCCCCAAAAAAGACAAAATCCAGGTACTGGAGCAAAAGTACAGAAAGTAGAGTGCAGCTGACCTGGGCTTAATCTCTGGCACCTCATAGGTACCCCCATCCTGCCCCCAGCATGGCCTGGAAAGATCCCTGAGCACAGAGCTAGGAGTAAGCCCTGAGAGAAGGAAAGGAGGAAGAGAGGGAGGAAGGGAGAGAGGGAAGTAAGGAGGAAGGAAGGGAGGGAGGGAGGGAGGAGAAAAAGGGAGGAGGAAGGAAGGAAGAGAGGGAGGGAGGGAGGGAGGGAAGAAAGAGAGAGAGAGAAAGAAAGAAAGAAAGAAAGAAAGAGAGAGAAAAAGAGAAAGAGGGGAGGGAGGGAGAGAAAGGAAGGAAGGAAAGAAAGAGATTTCAGTGGGTATAGGTATTTTATGGGTGGTGAAAATTCTTTATAATTTAATATTGGTTATGGTCATTTAAACTTTGAATATACTAAATATCACAGAACTGTTTATCTTCAAAGGGTAATTTTTATCATGAATTACATATCAAAATTTTAAGTAATAGAATTCTAACATTTAAGTTGTTTTTTGTGTCTTATCTGGTTTTATTCTAAAAAAACTTGAATTTCTGCAAGAAAGATCTATTATGGAAAATCAAATCATAATCAAGTAAAGGCCCATTCATTAAACTGTACTATATTTAATTTCCAATTAGAGATGAAAAAGGAATACAGTTCAGAGACTCTATCCTTATAATTAATATATTGAATAAAATATATCTCAAGAACTCACCAACATCCAGAGACACACAGCCTTATTAACTAAGTCACAGAAGGTAGCTGCAGTTTTGTTGTTGTTGTTGTTGTTGTTGGGTTTTTTGGTTTGTTTTTTGGCTCTTTGGGACATCCCAGTGATACTCAGGGGTTACTCCTGGCTCTGATCGGGGGACCATATGGGATTCCAGGGATCAAACCCAAGTCTGCCACCTGGATCTGCAGCTTGCAAGGCAAACGCTCACCCACTATACTATCACTCCTTCCCTCTTTGTTGTTGTCTTTAATAAAAAGTAAACCAAGGAGAAAAAAATTGTACTTACAGTGAGCACACCATTACAACCGTTTTTCTCTACACAAGCTCAAGTATAGCCTACTGAGCGATTGTATGCACGTGGCTTACTTCTTAATGCTTTATGCTGCACAGAAAATTCTTCTGGCCAAAGAAAACCCAGTGGTAGAACCTGAATAGTTTTTGAAATAAAACCAATACTGTACAACTACTACAGATATTTACTATTTCTGACTAACTTGCACGAACCACTGTGAAGTCACCCTTGTTGTCACTTCAAAGAAGGCCAACAAGACTCAGCTAGGTAAGGCGCTGCCCTGGGTCCAGAGAGACAGTACAGTGGGGAGGGTGTTTGCCTTACATGCAGCTGACCCAGATTTGATTCCCAGTATCCCATATGGTCCCCCAAGTCTCACAAGAAATGAACCCTCAGGGGCTGGAGCAGTAATACAGTATGTAGGGCATTTGCCTTGCACATGGCTAACCCAGGTTCAACCCATCCCATATGATTCCCCAAGCAATTCCAGGAGTAATACCTGAGTGCAGAGCCAGGAGTAACCCCTGAACACTGCCGGTGTGACCCAAAAAGCAAAAAGAAAAAAAAAGGAAGTGAATCCTCAGCAAAGACCCTGGAGTTAGCCCCAAGCACTGCTGGTATGGCCCCCCAAATAAACAAACAAAAAAACAGCATAAAGGAGATGCCTCCCAGATGGTCTGCCAGTCCTTCTTGCACAGAGACATACCAGTAATGCTGCAGAGATGCTAGCTGTCCCTTGAACAGGACCTCCCAAATGGAGGTTGTGAGTCACGGCTTTGGCTAACCATGATGACAAGAGTGAGGGATGAGAACCACCTTTCTGGTGCAGCCCCCAGGAGGCGACATATGGAAACACCACATGAGCACAGAGGATAAAAGAACGAACACGTATGACAATGCTGGTGTAACCTTGGATACCGTCACTATAGTTTCAAGAAAAATGTTTTTCTGAACATTCGGAGCATTGCCCATATGTCGGCTTCCATCTGTCAGTTTCCTGAGCCCCAGCCCAGGTGCGCTGGCACCCAGGAAGCCCCATGAGTCAATGTGTCTGTCAGGAACACACCTGGGGAAGGTGAGCTGTGGTCTTTCTCCTTTCAAGGGCTCTAAGAGGACACAGAAAAGTCCCTGCAGCGGCTGGCAGTGTTACTCACCGGTCATGGAGAGCAGGAATCTTGGAGGGACATTGCAGGTATTGCTTAAACCGGAGCTCAAAGGCTTGTCCAATGGCGCCAATGACATCCTGGGCCAGACCATCACAGCATTCTAGAATGTGACAAGCTGGGAGAGCAAGGGACAAAGAACCATCAGAATACGTCACAGCCTTCCCGGCATCCCCCATACAATGGACTTTCCCAGCTGGATCCTGAGACTGACCATGCAGAGGGATATACAGTGGTGTGGCCTTCAGAATGGGTCCCAGCAACTCCTCCTGTAGCTCTTCTTGAAGGACCCACAGCCAGACAGTTTCCCCATCAGGATGTTTCCCTAGTAGTCCATTGTCTCCAAAATTTAGAGCTCTATTATAAATCCGTTTCATATCTAAAAAGCTGAAATGTTGTTCTCTTCAGTTTTAGTCTATAAACAACTAATTTGCTACTAACTTAGGGGGAAAGCTTGATGCAAGAAACGAGTTCCTTGAAAGTCCCAGGAACATCAGGTAATGGACTTAAATTGACTTGGGTTGAAAGATTCTTGGTCTGTTCAATTGAGGGCAAGCTGTTTGCTCACTTCCTTGTGCGGGTCAAGTTTCTTGTTCCATACAGCTGCTCAAGCACTATGGACCTTTGAAGATGAGTTCAAAGGGATAGTAATCGATAGTGTGGCCACCCCCAAGACATCATGCTACCTGGAGGCAGAACATTCATGCAGGTTCACAGACCCCAGGATGTTGAGTCATAGGAGGATTTCAGGGACCTGGATTGATCTGCAATTTTATTTGTTTATTTATTTATTTTTGGTGAAGCAAAGTAGTTTTCACTGAAACTTACTCAGAAAGACTGAGGGAAGAGAGAAAGGGGAAGGATATGTTCGAGAGAGACACGGACTTTTCCAGAGAGGAAAAAGCAGAGATGTAGAGACAAGCAAGTGAGATCCGTGTACAAGGGAGAACACAGGTGTAAAAGGCCTGCTGCAATCTGCAACTTTTGGTGGTGGGCATTCGGCCTCCCAGTCAGGTGACCAGACCTGTGGCATAACCCACATGAAACGTTCAGATCAAAGCGGGTGGAGGAGCAAGGCTCGTGAGACGCTTGCAAACGCCCCCTGCCATACACACACACACACACACACGCACACACATACACACAATGCTCTGCTTTATGAGAAAGTTACCAGGTCATTGTACTGGAAGGAGTAAGTGAGTAAAGGAGTGGCCGGGAGTAAGATACCTTTCTCCACAGGTTTTTGTCTTTGGTACCAGGGATGCTGAATTGTCTCCCCATGACAGGAGAAAGCAGAGAAACTGGAGAGGAGTCCTATGGAGAGAGAAAACATCTCTGGAAGGGACAGAGGTAGCCCTGTCTCTGCAGGTGTGCGATCCTCTTTCCTCAGGGCTGCCTTCCGAATGGAGGCCAACAGCACAGGAAGATGCCACATGGGGTCTCAGGCCTCTGTCCAGACACAGGAGGGAGAGGACTTCTAGGGAGCAGAACACTGATTCATCAGGCCTGCAGAGTCTTGTGAGTCTTGCCAGCAGTTTCTCCCAGGACCCCTGAGTTCTACTTAGGTGGCCCTTCCCAAGAAAAGATACAGAACAAATGTCTTATTGGGACTGGGAGATACATCAAGGGGTACAAAGAACTTCATGGTTCCAGAACTGTCCCCAGAACTTCATGGTTCCCTAGAGCTAGGAGCAGGGCCCAAGAACTACCAAGTATGCCCCCTGCCAAAAAAAAAAAAAATGAAGTAAAATGCCTTGTCAGCCCTGAAACATCACGCTATCTTTTCTATTTTTGGTTAAAAGCTGGTGAGAGGGTCACTGACAATTTTCAGCCAAGTGGGCCAGTGGTTCAATGCAAGGGCTGAAAGATGAGGCACCGCCTAGGCCCTGCAGTGGGACATTACCAGACCCCACCCTGTGTTGCTCAGGGGCCTCCAGGCATGCACCTATGATGTAGGGAGGCCCCTGAGGTGCCAAGAATCAAACCTGTGTTGGGTGCATGCTTGGCACGTGCCCTTCACCTCCCAAAATATGAATTGTTTGGACACATTCAACAAGAGTTGATGAATGAAAGCTCCTCTTTCCGTTCTTTTAATCCAGTGATAAGTGTTCTTCTAAGAGATGGAAGAGGAGAAGACAGACTCAGAAGAGGAAGGGAGGAGAGGACATAGGCAGAGTATGGAGAAAGTAGCCCACTGAGCCTGGGGTGTCTGTGGGAATCACAAAACCAGAAGGTGTCTGGGACCACCAGATGTAAAACTCAACGAACAGTACCTCCCTGGAGCCTCCAGAGGGCACAAGTCCTAGCACTGTGATAGCTAGTTCCGGAGGATAGTGAGATGATAAACGTTCATAACTTTAAGTCTCCAAGTTGGTGGTAACTAATCACAACAATCACAGAAAGACTACAGCCATGAAGGTAATAATGTCAAATAAAGGGGATGACTGAAAACAATGGTTTCAGGTGATAAGTAGGATGGCCAAGGAGAAGCCTCTCAGATGTTACACTGAGAAACTTAGACAAGTCAGGCAATGCATGGTGGAAAGATCTGGGCTAAGAATGTTGCAGGGGTAGGAGATTCTAGCAGGTGCAAAGGCCCTGAGGTAGATGCTTGCTTGGATGGTTTCAGAAAAGACTGTGGTCAGTGATGTGGAGAGGAGAAAAGAGGAACCCTAGGAAAGTGGCCAGGGGACAAAGCAGGTAAGAGCTTCTACAGATCCCATGGGTATGATGATGAGTTTGGAATGGACAAGAAAAGGTAAGATCCCACCAATATTTAATACAGTTCTATATTTTGGGGTGCCAGAGTAAACCTAAGCCCCACACCTTCCAGCCATTAAATCTACCACAGCCCCCGGTCCTGCCCCAATATTTGAGAAAGAACTTCCTGCTGTTGGGGCAAGAATAAACAACTTCAGAAAGAGGGACCTCCTGTATGACGACGCATTACTCATAATGGCTGTGCTGGGGTCCCAGTAAACCTGTGCTCAGCAGAGCCCCTCATTCATTAGCCTGCCTGGTGTACCAGGGCACTGTGTCTGAGTGAGCCCACCCACCCTGGGGCTTTGAGCTTATAAATGTTTCCGAATAAATGACCGAAAACGTAAGTGAGGGGAAAATATTTGGATACTCAGATGCTCCAGCCAGCTCGTGCCTGAGGGACAGCACCTGAGCCTGGGGTAGAAACCATGACTGAGTATCAGTCATGCAATGTCCCAACACCATTCCCTTTACCAGTGCATTTCCCATCACCTATGTCCCCAGTTTCCCTCCCAACCTTTCTCTCTCCACCTCCACCTGCCTGTTTGCAATACACGTACTAAAAGTTTATCATGCATATCCATTTACCTCCTTTGAGTACTCAGTTCTTGTTCAGAGTGATCATGTACAACTATATTGAAAGTGGTCCCTTCTCTACCCTAACTGCACTCCCCAACCCCACACCCTTTGTGGCACGCTTTCTATCAGGGACCAGTTGTCCTGACCTTTGTTTCTACAGTCTGTGTTTATTATTCTCGCATTATGTTTTTTTTAATATCCTGCAAATAAGTACGATCATTCTATGTCAGAGGTCACTTTCTGAGTTTGAGCAGTGGCACAGGCACAGATCAGGTGGACTCCACAGAGCACCTAGACACAGTTATAAGTTTGAGCTCACAAAACCCAAGATTTCCTTCCCTGGTAGGTGACAAGTAACACCTGGTAGCTGCATTCAGACTAACTGGATAGATGGGAGGTGGTGGGGGGGCAGCATTGCTCACCTCTGCGGTTCACGGGATCCTTGGCTACATACGCAACATAATCAGTTGTGTCCTGTCAACGAGAAGGGAGTTGTTTACATCACAAACCACAAACGAGGGAAAGCATGACCTAACACACATCTCAGGACCCAACTTGAAACCCAGTGCTGTTCCAACAGCCTGTCCGAGGTGCTTCTCAAACTGTATTGAGGGTGAGATCGCTTGTTTCTGTTCCTGGAACCCAGCACTGGGGCTGCATATCAGGGCCACACCTACAGCAAAGGTGTGAGAGGCATCCAGCTTTGCATCCGGGCCCTCGGGAGCTTGGAAAACACTGCTGCCAGTCCCCACAACTCCATTTCACTGTCTCAGATGTGAGAGCTGGGTATCGGGGACTTCTCCAAGCTCTCTTGTAGCTCTAATCTGAACCAAGATGACCACCTGTGGTCCACGCTGTCTTCACAGCAGTCCACTCACCTATGAACTGGGCTGAGTATCTCCTTTAGTACTTGTTAAAACAGAGGGCCGGGGCCACCCTGTGTTTTCTGAATCAGGGCATCTGCCGGTAAAGCCTCAAGTGTGCATTTCTGAGCAGATTCTAAATAAGTTGCTGTGACTCCTCTGAGTCCACTTTGACAGCACATCAGTGGATGTTCAAAGGTTAGTTGACATGTACCTCAGGGGTAGATGAGACTTGATGGTTCTTTTTTCCCCTCTGACATAACAGTGGTTTGAATCCTTTGAGGCGTTTTAAGACTTTAAAAAGGGAAGTCTTGCTCCTCCCCCCACCTCACCCATACCCTTGTGTCCTTAATTCGAACCTCGGCCCCACCTACCCCTCTACTATGCATCTTCACTGATTCCTCCGTCATGCCAACATTTCTGCTACAAACACCCTTTTAAAACATGCCAATGTTTCTGCTACAGACCAAATAATTACTTGGAGAAAGATAACCCATTTCCATATGATACAGTTGGAAGCAATTTTGAATTTGCCTATTTTCTAGTATGAGCTGACAGAACTTTATTCACAGTAACAACGATTTCACCTCAAAACAAAAAATCTCACAACTGTAAGCTCTGAAATCCTCACCCTTCCTCATGTGCTGTGAGACTCCTACATGCCTCCCAGCTGGCCAGCACACAGACAAAACCATGACCTTTCAGGGACCCAGCAATCACGTGTCCCTCTGTTTCTAAAGCCATCCCAGGAAGCAATGACTCCCTTCATTCTTGAAGGCAGAAAGAGCTCCCTGCCAAGCTGACATTTTCAACATTCAGAAAAAGTCTCAGAGAGCCCATTGTCAAAGGTCTCCCCCACAGATGCAGAGGTTCTGCAGATGCCATTGCTTCGTTGATTTGCATGCAGTGTGTTCAGCATCTGAGAGGTTTTCTGGTTGAGTTCCTGCATTGCTACTCTGTGCACAGAGGACAGATGCCTCCTCTCTCTCCATCGCTCCAGAAAACCCTCCAGCCAGAAAGGGAAGAGGGAACATGGGTGGGTGAAGTCTGCTGAGATGTCAAGCCTGCATTTTCAGGCTTCATTCTGACCCCATCCATGACCCAGTGAGACCAGCAGAGAGGTGGGGAGCATTTCCTGCAGTTCTTGCCATAATGCACCGCTTTCTCATTCATTCTCCAATGAGCAGCCATCTTAGCTTTCGATCTGCTTAAGTCTCTATCCACCGCTACATTCTCCTACTGACCTGAGTAGAGGACAGAACGGTCAAGTCAAAGGCTTGAGCTTCTTCTTGTTTCAATCAAGGGAAATCACTGAAACACTGAAATAGCTCTAAAGCTATTTGCAATAGTAAGAATGGTAGCTTGTCACCACATACACTCATCCAGGATTTAGAAGCTGTTCACCTCTAAACAGTTTAAGGAGTATCAATGCTTCTCAAACTGAGATCCATGGAACCAAGGAATTGGACAGGTATGTTCTCCACTGTCTGGGATATCACAAGACTATCTTTACAATTTTGTATTTTCACTTTTCATTCATTCATTCATTTTCACTTTCACAATAATTTTAAAAATTGATGCAAAATTTTTCATAACTGGGAGTTTGAGCACTAGTACAGGAGGTAGGGAGCTTGCCTTGCACACAGCCAACCCAGGCTCTATACCAGCATCCCATATGGTATCCTGAGCCCTATCAGGAATGATCCCTGAATATAGAGCTAGGACTAAGCCCTAAATGCAGCAGGGTATGGCAAAAAAAAAGAGAAGAATTTTCAGAATCATCTGAGTGACCATTATGCCATTAAATGTCTGTGCCAAGACTGGTTGTTGGTGCATCTCATGGTGATTCAATTAAAAAAAATTAAACAAATTTAAAAAAAAGACTGTTGGGTTACCAGCACTGAGGGTGCCGAATTTTTTAAGAAGTAGAAAGGAAGAGAACAGATTGTATTCCACTGACACTCTTAAACCCATTTAGCATCATATTTGTGTACAACAATGTGCCATTGGAGGGTAGGCCTGACCAGAGGAAATGCACGCATTTCCAAAGCACTACTTCCAATCCAGCATTGTTGATTGTGAGGGATGCTAAAATCCAAAGAATTCTTCCCAGCAGCGGGTGGTTCCACAGTCACTCTAGAAGCAGAGATTCCATTTTACAAGACTTCGTCCATCACAGTAAGCAGTGTTATTTTGAATATTATCAACTTTAGTCTGTTTATTAATATTTAAGTTGCAAATTTTACTGGAGTTTGCAATTCAATAAAAAGTCTATATCTTCATCTATTTTGAGCACATTTGAACAACAAGGTGAATTTGAGTCAACACTAGTGACATAGAGGAAATTTTTTTTGACACTCTGACTTCAGTTTGAAAAATTACAATCAAGCGCGATTTGAAATTTAAAAGGGATGTGAAGCAACTTTGATATTAACACTCTTTCTGGAATAATGGGGATGTATATGATATTGCTGTTGATAACAAAGTTAGTGGTATCACACATTCACGAAGTAAGGATGATAAACACCAGTCGTGGAGATGCTGGTATTTCCTATATTTATCCATCTCTGTTTCAGTCCCAAAGCCCTTCTAAGCAACCATGATTCGGTCATTCATTTAATGGTGTTCTACTGCTGATAACAGTAGGCTAGAGTTGTAGTGTCATTTTTCAGGAATTGCCAGTGTTTTCTAATCAATCTTGATATTTCAAAATACCACTTTTCTCACTGGGTAAATGGAGGCACAGAAAAAAAATCAATGATATATACTCTTAACAGAAAAAAATACCAAGTAATAGAGCACTGTATATGTTCTTTTTAAACATCTACCAATTGGAACAATCACCAAACAACCTGTATCGGAACTCATGCAAATGTGAACTCATCTGGAATTCAAAATAGAGAGTAACTGGGCTTCCTACTCCTTATCATAATATTGTATGTACTTTTTAAAAATCAGGAAAGAGATGAAAAGGGCATGAATTACTGGAAGAGTAATTCATTACTTGCAGTAATGAGTGATTGTTTCCATTTCCAAATGAGGAGATGATAGGGAAGTTTGAAAACAGTTCAACATCCTGTATGCATTCTGGGTGATAATATAATTTCAACACAAGCCTGTGCATTTGGTTTACTGCTTTATAGATCTCTGTATCTCCACTCATAGTATCACCATGAAGATTAAATTTGCTACAAGGTCCTGAAAGGAGATACTGATGCATATGGACAATGCCTTTTCCTTTTGTTTTTCAAATTGAGTTACCTTCCATATTTAATATCTATGCTTGCAAGCATCACATTGGCCAAGTGAATAGGCTCTGAAAATTAAAACTATATAGAGATATAAGAGGAGAAGTAAGTGTGGAAAGAGGTATGTGATGGGAAAGGCAGCAAATATTATTTCCAAAAATACACCCTGGGGACCATTCCTGTGTAAGAAAAGAACAATAATAACAAAGCACTACTTCTAAGTCATTAGTTATTTATCATAAGATGGTGGTCTTACCAAAAGATTACCTTTTGAGAATACAGAACAAGTTGATTTTTTTAAAAAATAAATAAATCTAGTTCCAAAGAAAACACATTCTGTTGTCTTAATATTTCAATGTTTCCCTGGACTGGTGAAAACTATACACAGACCAGTGAAATATAATATGACAATGTGTGTGGATTAGTCTTTTCTTCCATTCATTGCTAGAGAGACCAGATATTAATGTTTTCCTGATTTCTCTTTTCTTTTGTGGGGGGTACACCCAGAGATGCTTAGGGTTTACTCCTGGCTCTGTACTTAGTAATCACTCCTAGCAGTCTCAAGAGATCATACGGGGTTCTGGGAATTGAACCCCGGTTGGTTGTTTGCAAAGCAAATTCCCCACCAGTTGTAATATTGCTCCAATCTCTATGCCTTATGAACCTCGTTCTTTGGTAACTGGCTTCCTGCCTGGGTTCCTTCCAAGGTCCACATATCAACAGCTAGTTTAGCATGGGTCTATAGAGGAGCCGGTTCTGAGTTCTACCTTGCAAAACCCTGACATCATACTACTGCTTTACCAACCAGACATGGGGAATAAATACACTCATCAGTCTGTCTCCTGAATGAAATATCCCTCTTCCTTTCCACATTCTCTCTCTTTTCTTGCTGCAGTTCCTTCCCTGTTAGCAGTAAAATACATTAAAAGAACTACAGAATAAAATTTGGAAACAACAATGCCTATTTTAAATGGGTATAAAGAAATTAGACTAAGTTATTCACCTGGGGACAGACTGAAAATCCAATGACTGAGGACCCAATGGACAGTGACAGGGAAAAGGGCAGAGTTTTCCCTGTGAGATGAGACTACATGTCAGGTATGAAAAGCTAGGGGGATGTGCCATTGTCCACACTTCAGGGATGGTGGACAGCACTTGGCTGGTGAAATGAATCAGTGGGAGTTCTCATCTTGAATCAGCCATTAAAAATAATCAAAGATAATTTATGAAATCAGGAGGGGAAAGAAAGGGACAATTATGGTTAATTTTTCTGAGCATACCCTAAATGTCCTCTTTCAGAGTGGAACACATCTCAAAATTTTTCAAGTAGAACAAGAGATAGCAATTCTGATAACTTACCGGGTCTCCCCCAGATGCGAAGGAGATGGATTGCATGTGGTGATTAGCTATAATCTGTGGTACAAAATAAGAAAGATATGCCATTATTATCCCACCTGTTTGTTGGCAGGCAATATGAATCGACAGTCTCCTACAAATTGGCAGAACTGTTAGCCACATAAACGTAACGATCATACAAGCAACAACCACAAATAACCTTTAGCAAACATCCACAGTGTGTCAGCTGCTTAACTAGCTGCTTTGCAAGAATGAACTCATTTAGGTCTCACAGCCACCTGAGTGTGGGAACCACTGTGACCCCCTGTAAAATGGAGTGAGTAAAAGATGAGGGTCTGAGGGCTCCAAAGGTGAGACATTCAAAGTACCATCCAGAGCTGGGCAGTGTCATGACTGAACACAAGTCTTTAATGTCTGTCTTCTGAGGAAGAAAATACTGGGAGAGTTAACTGTGCCATTTCTGTTTCAAGAGATGCATGTCATCTTCATCCAGACCACAAGTTAGAGTGGGAAAAATGTGTCTGTATACGCCATACGGCCCCATCGGGAGCAAGGGCATAGAAATTTAAAGTCTGCAGTCAAGACTCAAAACTGGTGCCATCTCAGGCCCTCTTGCAATTTATCAATTTAAGAATCAGAGAGGACATTCCAAGTTAATTTTTAAAATGGAAAATTTCCATTAGCGTTGAACTGCAGCATACAGTGGAATTTAATAGACACCAAGTAAATTAGGAGCTGCCCTAAATTTAAAAAGCCACATAAGTCTTCATGCTATTTTTATCTTCTTAAAGACAATGTAATGACATTGAAGTAAATTTCCGGGGGTGGAAACAGGGCTCTAGTCTCCATCTCAACATAACCAGGTTTATCTGTGGCAGCCCCCACAGGCCCCCAGACAAGAGTCAGTGCTGGAATGCTACCATCAGAGGGATTTTTCCAACTAGACTCTGGAAAAATGTGAAGCAAAACTCTAAATGAATTACAAGATACACTATGGGATTTATAAATGCCTACTTCAGCTGTTGGCACCTGCAAGGCTATGCAGGAGCCAGAAAGACATGAGCATATAAATGAATAAAATCAGCAAGACTGTCTCTGAGTGAACACCCAGCTAAGCTTGGTCTTCCTTGGAGCATAATCAGGACATCATAGTCCCCAAATAACGATGACCTGTGACCTTTAAAGGGCTCTTGACTTTATTTTATTTTTGTTTGTTCAACTTTGGGGAAGGGGTTTATTTTTAGGCACTGCTAAAACTGAGGAGTTGTGAAGGAAAGTGAAGAGTAGATTGGGAGGAAGGGGGGAGGTCTGTATTTTCCATCATCACCACCGTGCAATGGTATGTTGTCCCTGCAGTATGACAGGCTTTGGGAAGAGCTAGGGGAATTCAAGGGAGAAGTGAGTGAGCATTCAGCTTGTTTCTTCTCTGTGCCAGCTCTGTGCAGGGAGCAGACATTGCCTTTTTGTGTTATCTCTTCCCCTGTGTCAGGAAGGAAATGTTCATCCAAGCTGCTTTCTGTTTTACTGTTACCCCTACAGAGCCTCCCTCCAAGTCTTTCTCAACTGGACAACCCCCATATTCCTAAACCCAGCATCCTCTCCATCCACCTAGACCAAAATGCTGGGTGATGAGAAGAAGGTGCACCCACCCCACCCAAGGACCTTCTTTACTGCTCTGCTGAGAGTTGCTTTGTGGGTTTTAAGGTGAGGAATAAAGTAAAACAGCAACTAGGTGATAAAGCAACACTGAATTGGGGGCCATGATTTAAGGATTCCTAGAAACAAAAGGAGCACAGGCTGGGAGGAAAGAAATGGAGTTGATGGGTAAGAACCCATTAGTCAGGTCAGCATGAAAAGACCGGAGATGGACCGTAGGTTGGCCAAGAGAAAGGAAAGGAGTGTGTAATGATGTTCTGTCAAATCACAGCCTTCATGGTGCCCAGCATGGCCCTCCATGTCATCTCTGAATCTAGACTTTATTTCAACATTTCAGGGTGTGGGTGGAGAAATAGCTGAAGCTGGAGTGCTGCCTGCTTGCTGGGGAATTTGGAAATCAACTAATATAAATATTCATGCGGTGACAGCTGTGGGAGTCAGGACATGTGTCACTTACAGGTCTCTGTACCAGTTTGTCTATAAAATGTGTCTGACTTCCAGCTCACAGCACTGGCCCTGGGGCCCAAAATTGAGCCTTTCTTGAAAGTCAGAAGCATTTTCCTTCTTTGCCTTTCAGAATCACCCTGTGGGTACCCAGGACAGCTACTCAGACCCTCAGATTCTCAGAAACTTATCTTTGTCATTGAAGGAACTAACCATCAAAGAAATCAAAGATAAAGCAGAGAAACTTATCAGCCTAACAGAGCTTCAACATGCATCATACCCCATAGCAAGAAAATCCTTCCCCTGGTATCACTCACGTGTGTACACACACACACACAGAAACACACACAGACACATAGACACACACACACATGCACGCATGTATGCACGTGCACATGCACACACACAGTATTAACCCCATGCCACTATAACACTAAGACACTCCAACATAACACACCATTACTAAGAAAAACTATTGTCAATCAACCACAAGAGACCACACATTTCAAAGATTATAAAATATAAGCTGTAACAGCCAAAGAAACAAAGTATCAGAGAAAACAAACTGGGACAGAGACATGAAGAGACTTTGCTTGCACTTAAGCCTACTTTTATGCCTATAAATAAACCAATGACTTCATGCTCTAAAAAGCAAGTTAAGCAGTATTATACATAATTGTAGCAGTATTATACATAATTGTATTTTATGTAGTCTTACATATGTCTGGTTTATGTTTATATATCATAATTAACAATATTATAAGAAAACTAACTCCATCTATTATTCTTTCGGTGATCCTTGGACATCGCCCAAGGATGCAAAACTTGATGAAGGTTTTACACCAAGTGTTCAGCAGAGACAGGGTTCAGCTTAAATAGAGTTCTGGCAACTCCCCATAGTGAGGGTTATAACCCAGGGGTCTGGGCACTACAGACCTGTTTGGAGTCGGGTGTGCGCAGATTCAGGCTGGCGGTGGATATGGTCAGGGAGATGCTCATGCCTGCAAACTGGAGGTTGCTCTTGCCCAAGATGCTGGACAGCATTTTGCTGGGAGGCTGTGAAGTCAAACAGTGTCACTTTAGTATTTGGCTCATGGAGAGCCACATCTTCAGGGTCTGTTTCTAGGCCATTCTTCTCTCCCAGACCTTCACTGATTCAGATAAGATAGGATGCATTCAAGGTAGTATGGCCAGAGACACCTTTGCACTTTACTAATTCAACCTTGTTAGTTATGTTAAGGCAATTCTACATGTTCAATATGCAAATTGTAAAACTTTTGACGTTTATTCTCTGAGTTGGGAATCCTTGCAGAAAAGTCAGGGGTAGCAATACTCCAAGCAACTTCCTGTATGTTCAGCTGATGTGGTCACACATAAACTTAGGGGAAATGGGGCCGGAGTGATAGTACAAGTGGGTAGGGCACTTTCCTTGCATGCAGCCAACCTGGGTTCAATCACCCAGCATCCCATACTGTCCCTTGAGCATTGCCAGGAGTGATTCCTAAGTGCAGAGCCAGGAGTGACCCCTGAGCACTGTTGGGTATGGCCCCAAAACAAACAAAAGAAAATGACATAACCCAGGATCTACTCAAACTTTTGCATACTCAGAGGTGGATTTCATCCTCCAAGAATCAACCACTCATCCCTGAGTAAAGGGGCCCGGTCACAGTGCTAATAAGTAGCACCTGGAGTTGCAAGAATGCTCATTGATGACCCAATGGGCTACAAATGATTTGGGGCTCACACAGATGGTCTGATGAGTGTCTGATGAGACTCAGTACAAGGTAGAACAATATGGTTGAATTCAAACTGGTACATTCATCAGCCCATTGTAAATGTCCTTGGTACAGGTGGATATATGGATATGTTTGACAGACCCCTCACCTTCCTGGGTCCTGTTAACACCTGTCAATTGCTAATCACCCCCATTATTTTCCAGTTAAGCCATGCCTTGTTTTGATATTTAACATCCCTTATTAACCAGGTATACATATATTATTTTTTAACTGATGCCAGAGCTACATAAAAAAAATAGAGATTCCAGGCCAGAGAAACAGCAGAGCGGGTAAGGTGCTTACCTTGCAAGTGGCTGACCCAGGTTTGATCTCTGGTACTCCATAGAGCCCATCAGAAGTGATCCCTGAGTGCAGAACCAGGAGTAAGCTCTAAGCACAGCCTGGTGTGTCCCCCCCTCACAAAAAAATTTAAGATAGAGGTGCCTAGGTCTCATCCTGGAGATCCTGATAAAGTATAGTTGTGGTGGGGTCAGAAATTCACATTGTTTCCACCTTCTTCATCAAATAAAACTGTGAGGAACCCCAGGACAAGCTGGCGGCTAGGGTCCTCTGCTCTGTCAAAGGAGGCTCCCCTTATCTTCTCCTAGATACCCCCTAGCTCCTGTATTCAGTAATCCTGGAATAACTGTTTGGTCCCCAAGTCCCATGTGGGCCGCCCCAAATGCAGGTCAGTATTTATGAACTTGGGCTGAAGCGATAGCACAGCAGTAGGGCATTTGCCTTACAAGCAGCCAACATGGCCGACCCGGGTTCAATTGCTCTGCCCCTCTCGGAGAGCCCGGCAAGCTGCCAAGAGTATCTCGCCCGCATGGCAGAACCTGGCAAGCTACCCGTGACGTATTTGATGTGCCAAGCACAGTAACAACAAGTCTCATGATGGAGACGTTACTGGGCCCACTTGAGCTTGACTGTGATTTATGGACTTCATGGAGAGTTCTCTGACTAAAGCTAGATTGCTCTGTGGGATTCTGAATATCCCCAAGTTTGGGTAGAAAAATGACCCCAAATCCTAGCCTCATATTTGGAGACTCTCAAGGGGACACTGCCCCAAAATTCAGTCTAAGCAACAAAAAGTTGTATTGTGGGTCTTGCATTACATAATCATGAGACCCTTATCTGAACAGTTTCTTATGCTTCCTGTTAATCAAATCTTTTCTTTTTCCATGTGGCTCAACTTCTGCCAAGGTGTAAAATCCACATAAGGGGAGTGAGTGGGTAGCACTGAAACCAAAAGGTCTAGGCTTAAATTCTACCACCTACCTACTGCAGCCTCATCACAGGCCCCCAAAATTACCCTCTGTAAAAATGGGAGCATCAGTGGGATTATAGAGCTGATATACCCATTAATGAGATCGTATTATATTTCTAGGAATTTTGTTTGCTGCCCCGAAAATCAGCAGCCTTTAAAAATACATTTATAAAAACTTGCAATGAGAGGCATTTAAAAACAAACACTAAGTCAAAGCTTGTCACTTCATATTGGCTGCACTGACTATCATTCATATAACAGGTTATCCATGTTCCTTGGGACTGTGTGACAAAACTCAGCTGATACCATGATGTGATACTGCACAGCTGTTCCCAACTCAGTGTTCAAGAAATTCTCATTAGAGCTTGAAATAGGCTGTGGTGGAAGGATTTACACCATGGGAATTGGCTTACAGATCTAGGGCTGCTCACTCCCTTGTGCTCAACCAGAAAGTTAGTTGTGAGGCATTTAGCAGCATACCACTGGGCATGTATGACAGAGTTGTTCTGTGAAGTGAATAAAAGCATCTAAGGACTTAGAAGGAGTCCTGGTTCTGGTATACGTGCACATGACCCCCATCATCTTTACATCTCTAGGCTTTTGGTGCATTCCTGAAGTATTGAGTCTTGATGGCAGTGGGAGTTCAGAGGCTTTCAACACATGGCAGACCAGAGTATCTGAGCTCTTTGTATTTGTGGAAAGAGCAAAACCCAGGCTACAGAAAAAAGAAATTGAAGGGACTTGTGTGATTAAGGATACTGTATGGAGACTGAAGAGAAAGAAAACAGAGAAGATATAGGTAGATACAAAGAGACCATGGCAGTACCTTTCTCTTCTTGAAGGCTCCCTTGGTACCAGGAACAGCTTCACAAATGCGACTGATGGCTTCCCTTAAAAGGACAGGAAAAGAGAGCCAGTTTATTAAACGTCAACTCCGGGACATTACCTGCTGACATGCTTGTGTCCTGCGAAAATAATGGCCCAAGTCTCAGCATTGTAAGTGGGTCTCATGGTCAGGTGCCCACCAGCATCTTCTCCACAACAGAGTCAAGCAAACCACAACTCTGATTGGCACATCCTAGTGAAGCCTAATGATGTGATATATATTGATGACACAATTATTTTTTATTTTGGGTAAGATTTTATTTTTTTAAAAAATTATTAACCTGAAATATATTCTTCCTGGCTATGACTGTGACATGACATACAAAGTCATCAAGCATAGTATTTCTGTTTGCAGTTTTGGGGCCCCACCTGATGATGTTCAGGGGTTATTCGTGGCTCTGCACTCAGGAATCACTCCTGGTGATGCTCAGAGGACCATATGGGATGCTGAGAATCAAATCAGTGTCGGTCACATGTAAGGTAAAAACCTTACTGCTGTACTGTCTTTCCAGGCCCTAATCAAGCACAGTATTGATCAAGACATACCAGAAATGAGTTAGAATGTAATTTTAAATGAGCTGATCCTCTGAAAAACATTCGTTTATTTTGGGGCCACATCAAGTTGTTGTCTGGGCTTACTCCTGGTTCAAGATCATTCCTGGTGGTGCTTTTGAGGAGGGGGAAGGGTGGCATAGGCAGTGCCTAAACCCTTGTACTATCTCTTTGGTTCCATGACTCTATGAATTTTATCCCGATTTCTCCAGTTAGGAAATATAATAGATCAAGAGGTTTGGGAGAAGGGAAGTAACCTCAGTGGTACGTAAAATGCCCAGAAAGAGATCTATGTCAGTCAATCCGATCCACAGAGCACTTTACCCTGTGCCAGGTACTGTCCTGAAAAAGTGACCTGGGGCACGCTGATAGAAGGGGTTGAAAACAGCACCAGCTGCAGAGAGTACAATCCAAGACAGCAAGAGACAGATCACAGCAGGGAGGGAGATGGGGAACAGGAGGAGATGGAGACTCTCCAGCCAGATGCTGGAGGCTAGCCTCAGGCAAGATGTGACTGGATGGGGGGGTGGGGGAGGTGGTTACTTGAAAACAAACTAGCTTAATTTGATGTCTTGGTAAGAAAGATGCCCAAAAAAGAGCCCTGAGGAGTTTTGATAAATTCAATCAACGCCCATACAGGTAACAGAATACCGGGGGAAATAAACAGGGATTTGAAGATTTGCTGAATGATTTAAAAGAGAGAGAGAGAGAGAGAGAGAGAGAGAGAGAGAGAGAGAGAGAGAGAATAAGTCCTCAGCTTTGTTCTGCAAGTGTTCTTTGAAATTATTTTCTATCAGCCAGATGAAAAATAATTACTGTCACAATACAGTGCTTCTAAGTGAAATATGTCCTTGTCAAATTAAGTAAAAGACTATGAAGATAAGCTTTACATTGCCATTCAATTTATCACAGGGAGTGGGAAAAGAAATTGGATCTAAAAGTTCAGATGCTGTGAATACCGGAGACTGAATCATCGTGACTCAGAAAAAAATTATTTAAAAGAAATAAATGTTTTTTTATGTTTATGCTTAGTCATTTATTTTATAATAATATTATAACTGTGGTTCTATCAAAATACTTTCTAAAAGAACATCCAAATGTCTAAATGCGTCCAAAATTCTTTCTAAAAGCAGAATTTATTGAAGGTCAAGTTTTGTATATAAAAATCTATATTTTATCCGTTTAATTTTAAAAAAGAAAGTCCACTGCATCTCTGCCCTGTGCTTGCTGTATTAAGTGATATATTTAGCTGAGCAAAGCTTCTCAATCCCTAAGGGTCTCAGCGGGCTACAAAGACATTAGATGGTAGGAGGCATCCTGTAAGTCATTCCTTAAATATCCCTAATAAGGATGAGATTTCTTTTTCCATCTGCAGACATGGAAGATAACAGATGGAAAAATCAGTCATGGATGACAGTGTCCAAAAGGGTAACTGTCAAAATCTCACTTGTTATATAAGTGAGACGCCATTCAACATCTAATCTAGTCAGGCCAGGAAGCTTTGGCAGCAGACTTGCTCCTTTGGTACTACGTCTGGGGGAGATAGGTGGAGAGAAGTGACTCTTCAGAATGGGTTTGTGGAGAAACCACTCAACCCATAAACACACTATCAAACAAATCCTCCCATAGAGAGGCAGCAGCATCTGGGGCATATTCAGAGACTAAATCTTTGATCCTTTAAACTTGCAAGTGTCAGAAATTCCAGAAATTTCTCAGAGCTCATATACTCAAGAGAATTATACGGGATATTTTTAGAATCTCAAGAATCTCCAAAGATATCTCCAAATCAAGCTGCTGCTCAGAAAAAATGCTCTCCCTTTATTGCCAACATAAATTTATTTCTAATTCTCATACAATAACATGTGTGCATGTGAATCCTTATTTCAGACAGGCTGATGGCATCTATTTCTAGAAATAGACAAAATAGAAGTGATGTGACTATGAATATCTACAATATTTTGATGAGTAAATTTAACTGCAATGTCTAAATTTAGTTGCAGCCCTGCTCATTGTTCCTCCTGCCTTGTTAAGCACAGTGCATTTGGGTAAATGCTGCTCTTTCAGTTTGTTCATTTTGCAATAGTTATTTAGCTTTGTTTAATTCTACTTAATCCCAGGTTCAGTCTCAGGTAGCAATTTTGCCCTGTTTTTAATAATAGAGATTGCTTCTCAACCTTCTGTTTGGTATAGCCCCTTTTCAGTAAGCCAACCTCTGACCTCAGAGCTCAGCTGATATGGAAATGGGGCATTTGGCACATCCTGAGTCAGGCCCAAATACTATTAACCCTCACTTTCTTGTGATTTCACCATCGTCCTGTGCACAGTCTAAAGTTCCCATCATTACAGTAACCCACAGTGTTACTGGGATATAGGACTTTGCTGGACTGGATCCATCTAAATCATAAATAACCAGCTTTCTCCCCGTTATTTATTTCATCACAGCCTGAACCATCTCATCAAACACACGCGCAGGCACTCGAGCAAAAAAAAAGATATTAAATATTTTTAAATAGGACATTTCGGGTGGCTTCTGCCCTGAAGAGTTATATTCTAGTAGGAAGCTTGTATTAGTGTATCACTGTCATCCTGTTGTTCATTGATTTACTCCAGCAGGCACCAGTAACTTCTCCATTTATCCCAGCCCTGAGATTTTATCAGTCTCTCTTTACTCGTCTTTCCCAACGTATTGGAGGCTCTTTCAGGGTCAGGGGAATGAGACCCATTATTATTACTGTTTTAGGCATATCGAATATGCCACGGTCAGCTTGCCAGGCTCTGCTGTGCAGGCAGGATACTCTCAGTAGCTTGCCAGGCTCTCCAAGAGGCATATATGAAAGGAAGAAATGAGGAGTGATTTAGTAAGTGATGGGGGATAGCACATATCACACACACAAAGTCACCATTTGGCATGAAGATTGTTTTGAGTTGAAGGCGATTGGGAAAGACCAGATGCTAGCAAAGCCCTTCCCATATTTACCTAAAATCAGGATATGGATGTGTAAAGATGCTCCCACTTGCTCCTCTAGCAGGGTAGACAGAAGTTGGTCACTGGAGACAACTCTCAAACCTTCCTAAACCAGAAGGACAGCAGAAGAATCTACATAACAGACCTTGCCAGCATATCTACTATTAGTCCTCTCCCATAGTTTCCATCCCACTGTTTGCAGACCCTAGAAATTCAAAGTCTTTACCCTGAATCATGCATTTCTCTACAGACTGTTTGGTTTTGTGTTTGCATAGTATGTATCAGCAAATTATGACCACATTTTTTAGTTACTTATCGTTTTAATCAATCACCTTTTTTTCTCTTGTAGTCTTTCATCAGTCTAATTTGTAGGTCCCAGCTGAGAAACTAGGACAGAGAAGAAAAGATGTTCTGCCCCTCCAATGAGAAGACCACATCTTTAGGAGACTTACTTAGAGTGGCATTTGAGTCCTGGGACAGCAGGCCAAGGAAAATTAAGTTGGGTCCTTATCTCAAATTCTTTAGGAATTAAATCCTAGGTGGAGCAAGAATTTAATTTGTCTGGAAATTAAGACATAAAATATTAGAAGAAAACTAGGAAGTTTTTTAATGCTAGGGAGCAAACTCAGTCTCTGATACATGAAAGCCATGTCATCGACCATTGAATCACATTGTTCAACCACTGAGAAAGTTTTTAAAAAATTATTTTTTAGTAGAAGACTGATTTAATAAAAACATAATCAGAAAGCCAGAGGGATAGTACAGCGCATGTCTTGCATGTGACCGACTTAGTTCAATCCCCAGCACCACATATGATCTCTTGAGCACCACCAGGAGTGATTCCTGAGCAAAGAGACAGGAGTAGGCCCTGAACATAACTGAATATGGACCGAAACCTCCCTCCCCGCCAAAAAAAATTAGAGACTATAGTTTAATTTGAGTCAATGAGAAAACCATAAAGAAAAGGAAAGAAAAATAGGCAAAATACATTGTCTAAAAGTTTACAGGAAAAGAAATACAATTAGCACTAAGAACTAATCCAAGATTCTTGGTTTTATGTATATATAATAAAGTTTAACTTTGTCTCATACCAAAATTCCATGATCACAGTCAACTCCTCCCCCCTCTCCTTGCTTCTTCAGAAGCTCCAACCCTCAGGAATGTCTGGATGCCGGAGCCATGAAGTGGACAGTCTCATTCTCCATCTTCCCTCTCCTGGCATCCAGACTCAGAGTAACTCCTGTCTCCTGTGATGGCAATAGCCCTAATTTTTGGCAGAAGACCCTCTGGGGCAGGTTCATTGCTGTCCCGCCTACCCCTAACGCTTTTACAGGCATCAATAGGAGGAAAATTCTCCCCCAAATTCATCCATGCCTACTTCAGGTGTCACTAATGGAGTCCATAGGTTCATGGGGCCCCCAGACATTAGAGACACTTGCCAAAATCTGCATTATTCCTCCAAGCCACACATCTGGCTGAGGAAAGAGG